TTACCCTCGATGATGAGCTGAAGGAATTCATACTTGCTATGTCTCATGATATGGCCCAAATAGGCTGCTTTCCTCTTTTTTATTATGTCGAGGAGTTCTCGGTCCTTGTTCATTTGGTTTAGAACTCGTTCATTCGAGACAAGAGAACATCACTTTAAAAAAAACTATGGCGATAGAACGGGAGAGAGTATGTTGATCCACTTAGAAAATATGCTTAAATCGTTATCTGAAAAAAATGGAACACTTTTCAAAATAATTCGAAAAAAGGATCACTACGCAGTAGCCTTATGCACACCTATTATGCAAAGAACAGCGACTCTTCCCCAGTCGTCAGAGATAATGTTCGTTGATTCTACGGGGAACTGTGACACTCAGAATCATAAAGTTTATTACTTTATAACACAGTCTCCTATTGGAGGATTACCACTGGGATGCATCCTGAGTAGCAGCCAAGAAACAGATGTATTTACAGAAGCTCTTATTGCTTTTTGACATCCTTCCAATTAAAATCAGACCGAAAGTCATCCTTACCGATGACGACTTAACGGAAAGAAAAGCTTTAAAAAGAATATGGCCTGAGTCATGTTTCTTACTATGTACTTTCCATGTCTTAAAAGCCTGTTGGAAGTGGCTTAAAACTAATCTCCTAATGACGTACAATCTTGTTATAAATCTTTTAGAAACATTCTTGTTTCAAGGTCATATGAAGACCTAGAAAAGTCTTGTTCGGAGTTTATTAAAAATTGCAAATACGACAAATTCCGTATTTATGTAAAAATGTGATGGAGAGGGCTGATACTTCGTGCCTGTTATATCGCCAACATTTACCACTAAGAGGGACGGATACAAATAATTATATAGAGGTGATATTTAGACTACTAAAAGATATTCCGAGAGGACAAAAGCGTTTAATCTACCCCAATTGTGTGATTTCATTACCACCAATTTTGAATCCTACTATAAACAGCGAATTCTAGATGTTCTACTAAATCGAGTATCCAAGACTGTTCTTAGTCGATATTTGCCTGAAGTAAAGGACGTGCCCGATGAAGATGTAATTCAACTTAACGACTTTGAATATGCAGTAAAGAGTCAAAGTGATATCAATATAACCTACATTGTGGATTTATTAATATTTAGTTGTACTTGTCCACAGGGATTCACTGGTAAACATTGTAAGCACCAGGCAGCTGTAGTGAAAAAGTTTAAGATACATTCAATTTTTAACACATTATCCCTGAATGTTAAATTACATCTGTATCGTATTGCAACTGGTGAGCAGGCCAACGAACAATTGTTTTTGCCTATTCAGGAGGTTTTAGTGGAGCCGGAAAGTAATGAAGATCTCACTATAGAAGTTTCTTCAAGAAATCTTACATCTGCTGTCAATACTAGTCCCGAAAATGATCTCGATGGTAACGTTTTTAGTTCCATTACATACGACAATGACGATGTGGTCACATTAAAAGAGAAATGGAATCAGCATTCAGAAAAGATCATGGCACATCATGGCAATTTATCCTGCAATTCAAGCTTATTTAAGCAATTGTGATAAGTACGCCAGCTCAGAGCAGACTCTGTTATCTGGCTTACACACTGCCTTTAAATATAAAGTGTGTAAAAGAAAACGACCACAAACTACCCGAAAACGAGGCAAGCATATAGAGGTACAACCGACATCAATTGGTCGCAGAAAGACGGCAATGGGAGGAAAGAAAGCGATATCCAGTGGAAGAAAAGTACGTCAATTCCGAAACATAGTCAAAAAGGCACCACATTCCTTAGCGACGTGTGTTGAAAAAAATATAGGATTAGGCATCAATAAATCCAAAAAATAAAAACATGTCTTAATTCTTTTGTATTGTTATATTTTTTGATAATAAACTTCGTATAGATTTAAATTGTTTACTTATTTGGATATACAGGGTGATCCGTCATATTTTCACTTTTAATGGGTTATCTAACAAAACGTTAAATTTTTAAGTTTTTAATTCCAAAATCATTAGAATATTATATCAAAAATAAAAAAATTAAAATTTCCTCGTGAAATTTATTTTATAATACTCAGTTTTATTTTTTAATGGAATACTCTGTATAGTTTACCTTTAGTAATGAAGATCATTTCTATTCAAGTCAGTTTTGATTTTTTTCAACGGTTCTCGATCTATGTTTAATCTGAACTGTAATGTAATAAGCAGTGATCGGGTATTTAGTTTTCGTAAATCGCCGACGCATAAGAATTGGCACTAGTCTAATACGTTGGCACTTTATGAGCGGTCCGTTGCAGTCCCCGATCTAATCCGAACGGCTAATGTGTCGGCGAATTACGAATATGCATTTGGGCCATGTCACACCGGAAAGCGGATCTGCATGTCATACAAAACGGTCTTTGGTTAATTTCTTGAAAGAAAAGTTTGACTTGACCGAATTTTCCTATTTAGTAGCAGTTGGGACAGATGGAACTGTTGTGAATACGGGAGTGAAAAATGGCGTTATTCGTTTGTTGGAAAAAGAATTCAAACGTCCCTTACAATGGTCAATTTGTTTTATTCTATTTAAATGAACTTCCTTTGCGACATTTAGTAAAAGAACTAGATGGTGAAACTTCGGGTCCCGGTGGATTTGAATTGGGAGTATTGGGAGTATTGGACAGAAACTAGATAACTGTGAAACCCTAGCTGTTGTAAAATTCAGAAGAATTGAAAGTAATCTTCCGGAATTTGACTTGAAAACCTCTGATTTGAGCACAAATCAATGCTACCTTTTGGAGAGAGTTCAGTCAATTGAATCAGGTAACGTTTCTCCTTCTTTGGCTTCAAAAAACCTAGGAAAACTTTCTCACGCGCGATGGCTTACGACAGCGAACAGAATTGCAAGGCTTCATGCAACTGACAATCCATCAGAAGCTCTCGATATCATAACAAATTATATAGTTAAAGTATATGCCCCTTTCTGGTTTCGAGTAAAACTGAATCCTTTGTGTTTTGAAGTAGGAGCAAGACATTTATTTAGCTTAATCGACGCCTGCAAACATTTGCCAGAAAAAGTAAAATCATTGTCTATCCAGTGATACAACGCAATAGTTTTTTTGCACATCCAGAAAACTTACTGCTTTCATTGATTATTGATAAAGAACAAAAATACAGAGAACTTGGAATACGACGCATTATTAATGCACGTGAAAAAATACAAAGGCAGTGCGTGATTTTCATTTACCTAAGATAAATTTCGATGTCAATCATTATTCAAAAATGATTTTCTGGAATGAAATCCATCAGTGAAATCCATCACCAAATACCTAATATTGAGATGTCACTTACGAAATTAAATGGAAGTTCTGATTTATGAGATTTATTCTAATTTACCGAGGTTTCCTTGCCACTCACAATCTGTTGAACGATGCGTTCGTCTTGTGACTAAGGCATCATTAGCTGTCTGCGGCCAAGAAAATCGGGATGGATTTATTCAAACCCGTATACAGTCGAGAAATATATTGTCAGCATTTGAAACTAAATCAGACTATTTCAAGAACAGATAATAGAAACCTTTTTTGTATGTTTACTTGTATTTTGTATTCAAATATTGTTTTAATTTTGTATGTTTACCATAAATAGATTCACAAAAAGGTTTATTGCACTTATTTCGACCTATGTGAGGAACCTGAATGTATCAAAGCATAATTTTTAAATTTTGTAGGATGATTTAGGATACCTCAAAGTACTTTATGGCAGGTAAGTCAATGAGAATGGTTGAAGTATTTTGAAAGATGGAAAAAAGTATAGTGCAAGAAAAAAGTAATTTTTCTTCAAATTTGACCTCATTGACGAACCTCTTAATGTCAAAGGATTGGTCTGAAATTTTAAACAGTTATCCTTAGCAAGCAAATGCACCATTTAAAGGCTATGTGATATTAATTTTCAAAAAAAAAATGTTTTCCTTTTTTTCGTTCCACCCTACTGCACATGTACTTGATGAGGATCATAGAATAGCTTATGACGATTGTGAGATCTTGTATGTGGAGAAACATACCTTGAAAAGAAAGTTTTTGGAGATGGTGGCTATAAATGAATGTCCGCGCACTATTAACAGGATGACCGACATAAACGACCCGAGTGCAATTTATTCTTACATATTAAAATTACATAATAATAATAATAATAATATAGCAATCACAAATCCAACCTTATAAGTCCTATAAATTAAAATATTTTTCTAATACTATTTAACTGTTTTTTAGCATAATCCATTTTTCCCATTTTTCTGCTTTTATCATTTTCTCTTTTTTCTTGTCTAAAGGCCCCTACAGACGGACGTTTTTGTTACGCGTTTATGTACGTGTGTTCAAAAACGTGCATACAAAAACGTCAATGTGTATGCACAGAAACGTCACGTTTTTGAATGCACAACCGTTTTGAACGACGTTCATTATTTCTGTCGACGACAGAAATTTTGTAGTGCACGCAGGATTTTTTAAGCATTTCAAGCAAGATTTTCGCAAGTCTCAACGTGTGAATGTGAATTGTGCGTTGCACAACAGTAGCGTCGATTGGTCCCACAAGCTGTAGTGTTCTGTTGATTTGACTTTGCTCATAATTTCTTTGTAGAAATGAGAATTTTCTTAGTAGAAATGTCTGATTATAGAACACTATCACGTGAATTCCTGCGGGAATTTATTAAATTGTACACAAAAATTCCCTGTCTTTAGCAAGTAAAATCCAAACAATATTTAGATAAAACTAAAAAAAAACGAGGCTTACGCAAAGCTGGTTAGGAAGCTACAAGTTGTTCAGCCAAACGCGACTAAGGCTTCAGTTATAACTAAACTTAACAGTCTTCGGGAAGGATTTCGAAGGGAACATAAAAAGTTTGTTAACTGTACGTCAGTCGTCCTACTTCTAATTGATTTTTACGATCATCGTACCCGTACGGCATTAGACTCTCTGGGAAAATATTCCCAACGGCGCACATACGGCAAAATAGGTACTTTACAGCGACAAAACCATATTTTTTTATTCAAACTAAGCACAAAAAAACACAGCTAGTAGAATTCTATAAGTAACTCCCCATTTAAATCCGTTTATATTTTTTTCGAATGATAATTTATAAAAGCGCAGGCGGCTTTGCAAGCAGACATGCCTCGCGCGACTATCACGCTAACCTGGTTACGTCAGAATATGTCACAGTTACAGTTAGTATTTGTATCGATTTCAAAGTATTTTAAGTAGTTTTTCTAGATGGATCCTATAGCTACAGGTATGTACTACTAAGTTATTTTATGTAATCAATTATTTTAACATTGAAAATGTTTCTGTTATCCTATATAAGGGAGCCCAAATCGAATTAAAATGCTACATTTGCCACACCATGACGTCATATATACAAGGGTATAGGAAATCTCGGCGCAGCGGCGGCAGTCGGCCAGCGCGCGCAAAAACCATTACATCGCTAATTGTTTATTGATATATCTTTATTAGTTTAAAAGCAAAAAATATGGGGTTTGCTTTGATACCTTGTCAAGACATAAGCGAAACTTTTAAATTGTTTCTTTTTTTCATTAAGGTCTTCGTTTTTCGTTAAATGAAAGTTATATTAAGAAAAATCTATTTTTAAACCAAATTTTCACATGATTGAAATGATTATTCATGTTTAAAGTTTTTTTTGGTCATCAGCGCTAATGGAAATGTTTTTTTGTAAATAATTATAAAAAAATTACTCCCTACGAAGACTTTATTGTGTACTGGATCAAAAAATAAGTATTTGCTTTCTCTATACGGTGGTATTAATATATCGATTTTTGATGATATTGCCCTTTTACCCGGTCTAATTTTGTACTACTTTCGGAATAAGTGTCCCGATATCATGTACTGTACTTCAATCCCTGAAAAATTCAGCTTGTGACACCGAAGTGAGAGGTAACGTCAAAATAAGCTTTAATCTACCTACATCATAGGTAGGTGTAGGTACTCTAGGTATATTCTACCTAGACAGTAGCTGAACTAGCTGACAGTAGTAATTAATTTGTTATCCGATAAATAGTTGTCATTATATAAGTTTAATCATCTTATACCTCCTATAACGGTAGGTTTTGGATTTTTCCTGATTGGGTTTGTTAAACAAAAATATACTGGGCATATAAATGTCTGTTACAGTATAATAGTAATGGCTATATCATGTTATAACACATACATATGTATTGAATGTACTTATTTTAACCAATGCATTGTTTTGTTTTTTTTAATCTCACAAATAAGAAATGTTTTATAGTTTTTATTATAAAAAACAGTGATTATACAATTTATTTACACCCCTTACACTGTTTTCTGTAAGGGGTGTAACCAGGAGTATATTTCGTAACCTCTTACGATATAAGAGGACACAAAGTGTTTTATTACTTAATGCTTAAAATTTAATAATATATTTGTACATAAAATAAAATAGACTAGAAAGTCAATTAATTAATATTGACGTAATTACTAAATAAGTACAAGATTTTTTTTCTAAAAAAAACCAAACCAAACCAAACACATTTGTTTCACGCATTAACCTGTAACAATACTGGTAGGTACGTGCACAGATTTTTTCCTAGATAACTTAAAAGTCGTTAGAAAGTCTAATTATATTTAAAGAAGATATAATTCCAACAAATTACATTATAAGGCCAATAATGCACAAGTAATACCATTAAAATTTTAGCGTTTTTAAGTTGTGTAACATATTTCTTTAACGAATTAACCTGTAACAATAGTGGTAAGTACGCGCACAGATTTTTTCGCTAGGTAACTTATTAAGTCGTTAAATAGGCCTATAAAAGCTATAACATAGGTAACTAATATTTATAATTTAATTCGAGTTTTAATCTCAAATAATAAATGTTTTTACTGGTGTATTTCTGAAGTGTTCATTATTAAAAGTAGATATTCTTCAAGTTATGCGAAGTAATAAGTAATGTTTCCGGTGAGACCGCGTATATGTCACCGGATTCTGGTTAGTATAAAGACTTTTCCTATAGAAAGAGTTTTTTTTATATTTTCCTTTCAAAATAAGACTAATTTCTTCTTATTCTTTTAAATATTACAGTGCGTCTTTTTCCTAAAATGTTATACTTAATTTTCGCTTAAAATTAAAAAATCACAAATGGAGGAAAATATACGTTATTGAATAAAGTTTATATAAATCACTTTACCATAACAAACAAGTAAAAACATGTCATGGCGGAAGATATTCAGGTGGCATTTCACACGTTTATCTATTAAAATCGAGATTAAAATAATAAACTTGCGTAACATGTTATACACGAGATAGAAAGTTTCAGAATCGATTAATACGCAATACGCTACGCAGTCAACTTATTCCTATGCGCGGATGAGCGTTTTCAAGACTCTTCCTTCGGCCAGGGTCACAACGCCGGCGAAGAGGAATTGGCCTACGTTTGGCTAAACAGGCTGGACACGGTGGAGTACGATATTGGCGAGTCTGAATATTTATAAAAATTTGCAAAGTAAAATGTGTTGGAAAAATAATTAATCCATACATATATAAAAGCTCAAAGGGTTTTTTTGTTGCATCCATCCCGCCGAAACCGCTTTACCAGTCTTGATGATTCTTTTTTTAAATGATAGGTATATATGTGTAGATTTGTTATGAAGTATTTTTATAGTACTTAATGGCTATTTCTTTGTGTAAAACGACTAAATACTAAAACATACCTGAAAAACACCTACACACAATAACTCCAGAAATAAATTATTTGTCATTGTCAGTGGTGTGTCAGTTAGATTATATATTAAGTTTTTAGATATTTTAGAGTGAGTTCATGCCGCCAGCTTTAGATACATAAATATTAGCACAAAGGTTCGTTTAAACGACATTAGTGAATTAGCTACACAAAGCGATTTTAGGAAATTCATCCTCTTAGAGAGTAAAATTATCTCGGAACAGTTTGTTGTATGAAAATTCCTTACTATTTGGTCTAGAAGAGTGAAATCCTACAAAAAGAATTAGAAGAAATTTTTGAAATTCATCAACCAAATGGGTAATGTTAGTAAAAATTTAAATAAAATTTGGTGACCTCTGGATTATACACATAAAAATTGGCACAAAGGTAAAGCGAATTTATGAAATTTATACCCTTAGGGAGTAGAATAGGGAATGAAAGTTTGCTGTACGAAAATGCAATACTATAACATTATAAACCAGACAGTATAAAATTTTATACAAGGGTTTATTTAGTGACACCATAACGAAATATATCTTCCTCAATTATCTTTCAAAGAATAAAAAATAACCTATAAAGAGAGTATTAGTGCTCTTAATAAATAAAAAAAGATGAAAAATAAAAACATCTATGCTCACTAGCCCTCTATAAAGAAGTAAAAAATCATTTAAATCAATGCATGAACGATTCGGTGTAACGCGAACGTAGTCGCGAGAAAAGCTAGTAATATATTAAATTATTTTATTTAACTCGTTAATTTTCATTGAAAAGGAATTTTTGTAATTCGCCACTATATTAGTTAAAAACTAAGAAACTCATATCAAATTTAAGTTTTGCGATTTTGACTTATACTTTTACAAAATCTGAACACATTTTAAAAGAAAAAAAGTTTTGATAATATTTGTGTAGATTGACTACAAGTTGTATAACATAAATTTCTACGACCGGTCTACCTAGTGGTCTGCAGCATCGCCTTGTGGTGCAAACGTGGGCCTCTTAATCTGTGACGTGACGCACAACAGCCAAGAAAAACAGAAGCGTGGCTAAGAATTTAGTAATTTAAAAAAAAGTCTTTTAGATATACTAGTAGGTATTAAAAAGTTTTGTGTTTAAATGGGGTTTGCCTTTAACAGTTAAAAAATTATATCGTAAAGTGTAACTTTCCGTAAGAATTCTTTATCTGTGATTGATCATGATCTGTCATCATGTTAACCTGATGTTTTGTATGTTATTTTGTTTTTTTTTTCGAGGTTTTTTTGCTTGCTTGTTTTACGGATAGGTGCGATCGCATAATTATTATTGATAATGTTTTATTTAATTTTAACATTACTACTTTTTCAGTCTGTTTCATTACTACTTTTTCAGTCTGTTTTAAATCTGTTGTTTTTTTTAAGTTCGTTATTTAAACATATGTATGTAATACACTCATATTAACACTAATCATATTTTTACGTTTTTATTCATCATTTTCAATGCCCCCCCGGTTGCATCTTTGTAAAGGACTGTGAATTTTTTGATTGGTAGACTAGGTTTCAAAGCAAATTTCAAATGAATTTATTTTCTGAAAATTTTTGGAAAACGTCATTTTAAGTTAGAATTACAACAAAGTTCCGCTTAGTACCACATTTTTTTGTAGTTTATGTTGTTGCTCTGTCTTTGTATAATAAATAAACTAAAATCTAGCTATCCCAAATCATCCTTTTTTAACATATCTGCATTTGTTTGCAGGTAGTGGGAGTGCGCCTAATTTTAAGAAAATTGGTGTCAGCAGGAATGAACTTTTTGCAATCTTAAAGAGTGTTAATTTTTATAAACAATCATCATCGCAGTGCAATGAACATTTAGTTAGTTATATTAAGGACAAACTGAGTATAGATAAACTTTCCAAAATATCAGAAAATCGGTTAAAAGAAGTGGTAAAAGTGTTTGTGTCTAAACTTTTAACAAAATGGAAACAAAGCCATCACATTGAAGCAAGGTTTATGAAAAAAAATACTTATTGGATAGCAGGAGCGGTAAACTTCCCAAATTTACAATATACTGTCTCTACGCCAACGACATCGACACAGGGACGACCGAAAAAGTTATTCAGTCAAAAATGCAAGAGATCGCAGCAGAGGGAAATCAGGCCTATTGTTTCGGAATTGTGTTCTGAAAAACTTGCGTATGCAGTTGAATCCAGTTTAGTTAAAAGTGGTAAAAGAACTGCTGCAAAAGTAGTAAATCTTGCTTTATCATCAACACCAAAAAGATTAAAAAAAATGAAACAAGTCCATGATTCATCTTCAACCTTTACTATGGACCTATATACCCCGGAAGAAGCACTCGGACTTATAGTAGACTTAGGATTAACTAAAGACGACTACATAACACTTCAAAGAGGGGCAAAAAGAAAGGGTGCTAATATATATCCTTCATACCCTGCTATTGCTGAAGTAAAAAAAAAATGTTACCCACCAGGTATGTTTATCACAGAGACAGAGGCGACAATTCCATTACAAAACCTGTTGGATTTAACTATTAGTCGGCTAGCACATATTCAATCAGAAGTATTGCTGCAGAATGTTCCAGATGAAGTCATAAACATAAATGTTTTTTATAAGTGGGGTCTTGATGGTAGCGGTGGCCACAGTATTTATAAGCAAAACTTTGCTAACCATTCAGAATATGGCGATGCCAACATTATATTGTGTACAATTGTACCTCTAGAAATATCGATTCAATCTAGATCTGGAAAACAAATTTTTTGGAAGAATCGGAGCCCATCTTCTACCAGATATTGCCGTGTCGTAAGCTTTAAACTAAAAAAAGAAACAAAAGAGACCATGAAAGAGGAGTACTTGGAGATTGAAAATCAAGCAAATAATTTACGGCCTACAAACATTTTCATAGGTAACAAAGAACTGGCATTTAAACATATTTTGGTCTGCACCATGATGGATGGAAAAACATGTAATGTGCTTACGGACACGGCCTCATCCCAAGCATGCAACGTATGCAAGGCCACACCCAAAGACATTAACAATATAGAAAAAATGGTAAATATAGCGTGTGACTCATCTACATATAAATTTGGAATATCTGTGTTGCATGCATACCTTAGATGCTACGAGTACCTACTTCATATTTCTTATAAAATGGACAACAAAGAATGGCAGGCAAGAAGCCAAGAGGCAAAAGAAAGTGTTAAGAATAGAAAGAAAGCAATTACTTCTCAATTTTACTCAGAAATGGGATTGGTTGTAGACCATCCAAAACAGGGAGGAGGCAACAGTAATGATGGGAATACGGCCCGCAAATTTTTTGATAATCCAGTGTTAGTGTCGGAAATAACAGGTGTCGATAAAGATTTAATTTCCAGATTTGCAAACATTCTGAGTGCGATTTCAAGTGGGCACTATATTAATGAAAACAAATTTAAGATTTATTGTCTTGAAACCGCTCAAATGTGTATACAGCTTTATGGATGGTACAAAATGAGTGCTACAGTACATAAGCTGTTGCTCCATGGAAGTGATATTATTCGGTCTTTTCCTCTGCCTATTGGGCAATTATCCGAAGATGTTTTAGAGGCCAGTCATAAGAGTTACAAAAACTTAAGGTTATTTCATGCTAGAAAAACATCGAGAATTAACACCAATACGGACATCATAAACTGGCTACTTGTTTCATCCGATCCGGTAATTACTTCTTGTCGCAAAGATGTACAAAAAAAGAGGAAACCGTTTTCGGCGGTAGTCATCGGAATGTTAAAAGAACCCGAATTTTTAGGACAAATGTATGTGGAACAAGCTGACGACTCTGACTCTGACATCCAAGAGGAAGAAAACACATAATGCGAATAAATAAGGGATAAAAATTTATTTTACCCTTTTTCATTGTTTTCCTTCTTTGTAACAATTCCAATACACTGGCAAAAAATAATTTTAGGATTAAGTAAGACAATACGAATAAAAAAACTTTGAAAAATTTTACACTACTAAATTTTATTCTTAAATCTACTTTCAACCTGTCTTTTAAAATTCTTTTGACCAATTTACCAAGGTAGATATGCAAGTAAAAATTAAAGTTTCCATTCAGAATATTTCTTTTTTATAATAATAATTATATCTAGTTTATTACCGTAGGTATTGGTGGATTTGGAAATTTTGTTACACACTGTATATAAATTATAAGCCAAATTAGGTCTATATTAGAAATATATGGTTAGTTCTGTACTAAAATATGCTTTGCATGTAAATTCTAAGTTAAATACCAAATTAAATCAATGAAAATGTTTTTGTCGCTGTAAAGTACCTATTTTGCCGTATGTGCGGCGTTCGGTTAAGTATGATGTGATATGAAGTAGTATATGTAAGGCACCACCCTGGCCAGAAGACATAGGGCAGCCGTCCGATGTTGTTGTCTATAACATAGTACATGTATACGGCACTCGTCCTACAGAGTTGGTTTTGAAAACCGTACCGGTACGTCAACCGTCCTGAAAGGACAACAGTACGTCGACTCTCGAGCAGTCATATAATTCGCACCCATCCCATTATGCTGTTTTCAACTTAAAGATTTTTGGTCGCATTTTGTTGGTGATGTATACAACTAAATGTTCACCATATCTTTATACACATGCTTTGAATTTGTTAACTGCCCCTTCCCCAGTCCCCCTCAGACTCTTTCGAGATGTATGCACTAACATATTCCACTGCATATCACTATAACAGATGCCCTTGTGCACTTGTTCTTTCTCTTTGCCCACCCTTGGCCCCTTCAGGACCAAACGGTGGTTTTACCTTTGTTACGCTTATGTTTTAATCCTAAATAATTGGGTGGGGTGCACTGCTATTTTGGTGCATTGCCTTATGTTGGATTGACCAAGTCGCATTATTATTACCATTGTATTCAACTGTGTCTCAATTATTGATGTTGTTTGTTCGTCCCTCTTCTGAGCGACTTTGTAAGTTATACAGGGTGTTTCAAAACAAATGCGAAAAACTTCAGGGGGTGATTCCTTGTTCAAAATAAAGGGTAGTTTGCTTTATAAACGTTGGGTCCAAAGTCAACCATTAGGGAGATATCGCGGTACAAAGATGGCGGAAAAATAATGTTTTTATTTTTTATCTTGAAAACGAAAAGAGATAGACTAATGAAATTTTATGGAAGCATTACTGTTATGAAAACACACTTTCTGGTAATTTTTTCATTTTTTAAAATGAGTGGAAGGGTTGAAATAAACTGCCCTATCATTCTTGTTAACGAAATTTAAAGAAAATCTTATCAAACACATGCAAAAAATTACTTGGATAGTTTAGTTTGTTTAGAAACTTTTTTTATCTCTTGTGTTTTTTTGATAAAACTCACCGATTTGAAATTAAAAAATAAAATGTAAAGCATTACATGTCAGGACAAAAACATTTTAGATTAAGAATCTAGTGATAATAACGATAATAATAATCATCTAGATAATAACGTATTGCAGTAGAGTAATGTCAAATAAAATAATATTAGGAACATCCTAAAAAGTAACAGCGGCCGACTAGATTTTTTCCTAAAAAAAATTACAGCAGCCAACTAGATTCTTTATCAGAAAATGTTTTTGTCCTGACATGTAATGCTTTACATTTTATTTTTTAATTTCAAATCGGTGGGTTTTATCAAAAAAATACAAGAAATAAAAAAGTTTCTAAACAAACTAAACTATCCAAATTAATTTTTTTGCATGTGTTTGATAAGACTTTTCTTTAAATTTCGTTCACAAGAATGATAGGGGTAGTTTATTTCAACCCCTTCCACTTATTTTAAAAAAGTGAAAAAATTACCAGAAAGTGTGTTTTCATAACAGTAATACTTCCATAAAATTTCATTAGTCTATCTCTTTCCGTTTTCAAGATAAAAAATAAAAACATTATTTTTCCGCCATCTTTGTACCGCGATATCTCCCTAATGGTTGACTTTTGACCTAACGTTTATGAAGCAAACTACCCTTTATTTTGAACAAGGACTAACCCCCTGACGTTTTTCGCATTTGTTTTGAAACACCCTGTATATACCATTGTAAAATGTTAATGTTACTAATGATTATTTATAAGAAACCAATTTTTATAACAGCTGTAACCTTTGCTTCACTGTGATTATTTTTGGCATATTGTTGTCATTAACTTTTTTACATATATTAAGTTGTGGGAAAGAAAGATACCCCCGCTATAATTTTCAAATATTTCTCTTTTCATGTATTGAGACTTTTTAATATTTAAATTGTATATTAATCTTTAAAATGTGTCCAGTGTTTTTCTGGTTGCAGACATATAGTAATATATTTTAATAATTGTAAATGTAAATATTATCTAATGATCTCCACTGCTGTCTCGTTGCACGAATAAGGGTGTTTCTGAGGTTTCTTAAGTGTGCGTGCCTTGGTCGCTTCACTTATCCACATGACCATCCACCTACATAGTTTTTTACATACATTAATTACACCAATATTACATAGACAGGCAACAACCCCGTTCGCCATCCATAGTTAACTTTATATTTTTCTTGACGTTTGACGTTTAACTAATGACAGATAAATGTCAGTGTTGTCGTTTGTCAATTGCTGTGCGCCTCCTTGCCTTAAATTGAGACGCAAATGAAAAGTGCCTCGAAGATCTCGCAATTATTTCCAATGTTTTAATTAATATAAACAGGCGGTTTAATCGCCTTAAGATAGCCCTTAATGTGGTTGACTGGTCAGTGATGATTTTAGTATGGAGTCTTCAATGTTTCCGTTAAGCCTATTTTTAACGTAGTTTTTAGAGAAAGTTTTTTACCACGTTGAGTAGTTGAGCCCTGTAATAGGTAATTTTTACATGGAGGCATTTGAGGAGACACCGCTTAGAACTGCAACAAAAAGACCTAGTTGCTAGCTGCGCTAAGTAGACGATACCTTCGTAATTTGGAAACATGGAACAGACGATCTTAATAATTTCCTTCAACATCTAAACAACATACACCCCAAGTTCCAATTTACGATGGGAAGTAGAAAAAGACAGACAGCTAGCCTTTGTAGATGTATTAGTAACCAGACGACAAGACCTAAGTTTGGGACTCAAGGTGAACCGGAAAAACACCCATGCATATCGCTACCTACATAACAACTCAAACCACAATACCGGTCAGAAAAGAGCGGTCATAAAAACACTAGTAGACAGAGCCAGACGAATCTATGAACCGCCACATATCACTGAGGAATTAGAACACCTAGACAGAGCCTCACCAGCCAATGAATACCGAGAGCAGACGATCAGACGAGCCATGAGACCGAGGCGACCTGTTGAAAAGCAAGAATAGGAAAATACATATCGAAATGGGGTCGCAATTCTTCCATATATTGGAGGTGTTACTGACCGCTTTGGAGCTTAACATAAAATTACTAGCCAGGTGACGCGTTTAAAAACAAACAAATCCGTTTTTCTCTCAACATTACATGATGGTCTAATACTTTGTGATAAGACTGGAAAACCTGACATTATAACGTTTTATAACGCAACCAAATATTATGTAGATATATTTGACAAGATGTGCGGGAACGTGAACGTGTTAAGGAAAACAAGAAGATGGCCGCTTTGTCTCTTCTACGGTATGATTAATATTGCCTCTATTAATTCATGGATTGTTTATAATCATAACCAACGAAGAAAGGAGTTAGAAACAATCTCGAGAAAAAACATTATGTATTTATTATCAGACCAACTAATAAAACCATGGTTGGAGCAGCGGAAAACTTGGCCAACTTTAACCCGCTCGCTAAGACTGACTATCGAAAATATTTTAAATTCAGATGGACCAAAGGAAAGAGCAACTCCTATTGAAAACAAGCATGTGACGTGCCAATTCTGTCCTTAAACGCCAGAAAGGCCAAAAAAACGCAGAATGATGACAAACTATTATGAGCACTGTCAACGGCCTATTTGTGGAGAACACGGTGCTTTTTGTTGCGCTTCTTGTTCCTCAAAAATGTACTTTTTTTCGTTTTTATTAATGTTTGTAATTATAAATATCACGTTTGTAATCAGTGTGCAGTTAATCAATGAAGGGCTGAGAACCATAGTCGCTACAAAAAGACTGCTTTAGGTTTTCAATACTACAAAATACCTTATACAAAAGTTTCTCAATTACGTTTTTTACAAGGAGATCCGGTTGCAGTTCAATATAAGGTCAACCACAATGCAGAATTTGTGCAAATAAATAATATTCAAAAATTGAAATCTACAGGCAAAGACAGTAGGGGCAGAAAAGAAGATAGCAATGGTGTCGCTGCTAATTTTGAAATAGGTCCTGCCAATCATCAGTCAAAATCGATTTTCGCAAAGAAATGCGGAACGAATTTGAACAAATTCAATTTGCATATAAATGGATTCCATTGGAAGACCAGCTATACAAGAAAAGTTTGCTTTCAGAATATGGAAAGAAATAAGAAAAAACTTAAAATATTAATTATAAATTATTGTTTATTTGTTCAAATTTTCATCAAAGTACGTTTAAGTTTGTTCACTAGAAGTGCACACATTACCATAAGTAAATGTCTCTATGTACATTGCAGATATGCCGCGTAAGTTTCCAGGAGACCCCTCCCCCCAAGGGATCCCGACCCGTGGGCCCGCTATATCACTCGAACTGGTAGGCTGGGGATCCTACTGAACCATTCAAGTTCCGTCCGAAAAGGAATCTGGATCTAATTTGTTTTTTTAGAAGATATTTTATTTTTCGTTTTATTTGTTTTGGCTTTTTTTGTATATTAGGTCCGGAGAAGTGACCCGCATTTTTTTTGGTTTATTTTTTTTGCTTGTAGTGACCCTCTCCCGTTCTACTCCTCCTGTGAATTTTAACACTCTTCGTGTCGGGGAACCGTCTAATGTTGAACCGTCTTCTTTTAGGAATAACGAATCGTCGCCCCCTGCCACTGAATGTCGTCCCCAGACACTTATGTCTCCGTCCTGGAAGACGATTTGATGTACAACCTCAACCTCGGACAGTAACCGGTCACTAGAAGGAACACGGGAACACACACCGTGCCGAAAACCCCCCTGTGTGTCCAATGTCATATCCTGTCCAGTTCCGTCAGCGTATCCGTCCCGCTCGATGACGCCGTCCATCGGAGGCCGGTGGTATCTCAACCTCGTGTTATCCAGACTAACCTTGAGAGCCTTTGAAGGTGCCAACCACGACACGGGACGGGTATTCGCACAACACAACGCCGACCCTTCCCGACCAACTGCGATCACCGCCATGCCGGCCTTTCAACAACCGGATCAATTAACTTC